AAAAAAAAAAAAAAAAAAAGAACGCCCACTGGCCCCATCAATTTCTCAGCATTTTATTTTGCGAAAATTAATCGATTTGGCGAATGGTAGCGTTTCACGCAGCGAAATGTTAAATGAAAGTATAAAACGCAAATGCAGTAAAACTTCTGGCCGATACTGTATGTAATGCGCATATATATATATATAAAATTAAATCATTCAGTAGAAAAATTTCCATTAAACCGGATGCAGCCGGAAGTAGAGGCTGCGCTCCAGTAAGTAACGACAGAGTGCGAAACCATGCTCAATCGCGCGAATCTGAGCAAGAGCATGCGAAACATTTCGTTCGTGTATGGCAGTTTGTTCCAACGGTGTGTAAAAGGTAAAAAGATTGTTGTAATATCCGGCCGAAATTGAACGAGCTCGAGGCTCGAGCAAATTAACTGTGATATCGTTCAAACTATTCAATTGCGCGCGGCTGCGTAACACAACGTGATAAACGTGATTGTTTTGTCCAAAAGCCAAGGGATTAAAGAGGGATCTATTTACCCGTTTCTCTATCACAATTTATCTTTGACGAGTTGTGAAACGTAGATAGCAGAACATATTTGTGCATCAGCAGGCAGAGGAGTTCAAAGCAGCGTCGGAACAAACATCAGCGTCAAAGTGTATCGACGACACAGACTGCAACACTAGGAAAAACGAGCAACGAAAAGTTTACGCTACTCGTGGTACGTTCGTTCGAGCATCGATTCTTTGTACTAATTAATTGAAGAAACTGTTCAATGACTTTCGCTACCATCATGGATGGACGAGATATCTCGTCCCGGCTTGCTACGACTACGACGTCGATTATAATATACCATCGACGAGATATCTCGGCTTTTACAATTCCACTGACGAGTTATCTCGCTTTACAATTTCGCTCTTGCGATGTCACTGACGAGATAACTCGTCAGTGGAATTATAGAAGCGAGATATTTCGTCAGTGATGTTACAGAAGTGACATAATTCGTCGATGAAGTTATAGAAACGAAATCACTCGTCAGTGACATTGTAGAAGCGAGATAACTCGTCAGTGTTAGTACAGAAATGGGAAAACTCGTCAGTGGAATTACAAAAGCGAGATATTTCGTCAGTGAAGTTATAGAAACGAAACGACTCGTCAGTGACATTGTAGAAGTGACATAATTCGTCAGTGAAATTATAGAAGCGAGATAACTCGTCAATGTAATTACAAAAGCGAGATAACTCGTCAGTGAAATTACAAAAGCGAGATAACTCGTCAGTGGAATAATAGAAAAGAGATGATTCGCCAGTGACATTATAAAAATGACATAGTTCGTCAGAGGAATTTTAGAAGCGAGATAACTCGTCAGTAGAATCGTGACAGCAATGTTATGAAAGGAGATTATCTCGTCGGTGGTATTGCACAACCGACCTAGTTATAGGTCGAGATATCACATCCATGGTAGCGAAAGGATTAAATTATTAAACTGTCAATTGTTTACAGTGGATACATGGAAGTCTCACAACGAGAGAAAGATTTGCCCTCGGTGCAAGAAGGAAGCAATACCGACACTTCATGCTCGGGGAGACAAGTTGACGACCTCGCATATTGGTGCTTTGTGCCTTTTAGGGTGGGTAACCCATATATTGCAACGAAATTGAAAGTCGATCTACTTTCTTTGTGATTATATATTTAAAATTTATAAAAATTATATATCTTTTAATGTAATATATTACAATGATTTATTAATATAATATAATATATTAATAATCACATTATATATTATATTACAATGCATTGTATTAATTTTTAAATATTTCTAATTTTGTACTGTTTTACAAGGTTTATGTTGAAAATATTGCAGGCAAATACTGCAACAAAGTTCATCTGATCTTTATGTTCTCCAACTTCATACTTAAGTTTTATTTTCAATTTTAATCTTTATATTTAATTGTTTACTTTTTTTTATAAAGTTTATACTTCTACTTAATTTACAGAAATTCATTTATGTCTCGTATAACTGAAGTCAAAATCTATTAGAATCAGAGTAACGGAAAATAAATGAGAATTAGTTCAAATTGTTATAATTTGCATATTGTAATCTGCCAATAGTTTTTCGAGAGAGAATATATATATATATATAATTTTGATGAAATATGATGTGATGGTAGAACATATATATTTTATATCATCTTTAATGCACAAGAATAACAAGAGTAAGCAATTTATTCTTATGCATCAAAAATAGCTACGTAAAATACTTGAACCTTTGTTACATATTGTTTATATTGTACAAATACCATATTAACTTCCAAATTTGTTTAATAATATCGATGCATCGTATGTACGTTATTTTACGATCGGAATTATAACTGTACAGATGGTTAATGGCATATTCCTCCAAATGTCCCATTAATTTAATATTTATTTGAAGATAAAAAAAATATTAGGTTGTACAAAATACGAAAATTTACTCTAAGAATTTAATACTTAAACGTATAAAATATCTGGCGTTTATTTAAGTGAATCACTATTTAAATCTAGAAAATGATCTTAATTAATCAAGCTACTATCACACTAAACGAACAAAAATAACAAAATTTAATGAACGATAGTTCTGTGAAAAAGTATAGTCAGGTTATACATACATCTTTCTTTTAAAAGTTCTCGCGATCGTAAAACATCGTACTTTGTTCGATATTTTTTGTAAAACATTATAATTAAAAAATATTGGTATTTTCAACAATTTTGACGTATCAATTAGCGAGTTGCAATTTTTCTTTTCTCTTTTTTTTTTCTTCTTTTTTTCTCGATATGCCTGAACGGCAACAATCTAGAATTTAGAGCTGACAGATTTTGGTTGGCTTACAGGTAACCAACAACATTAATTTTACACTCGCTGTCTGCTCGTTCAGCTCCCCGTGTCAGGATAAAAGATTAATGAATAAACTCGAAACTTCAGTTACAAGCGTCTTCGATTCTATTCGAAAATTCATCGCTTATATTCCACGAATAAATAAATTTCGTAGAAACAATGTACAATTTTAAGAAATTTCAATTGATTTTAATAAAAATACATGTTTGGAGATGTTCGCAAATATTCGGCACTAAACTACTATAAATTGAAATTTAACAGAGATAAAAATAAAGGAAATTATTTCGTAATTTCAAAAAGAAAAATTCGACAATTGTACATTTATGCTGAAACTTTGGTTTAACGAGTAATTCTTTTAAAAAATGCTGATTATACGAAACGAAACATAGAACTACCTGTCTTGAAATCAAATAAAACGACGAGTTGAGAAGTTGAAAATTAGAATATTACAGGCAATGAGATTTAAGGCACTTTGAGTCATTTTGAATTTTCATTTCATAGCGAGCAATTCGAATCATCATGAATATTATTCGAAGCTTGAAATTTTTGGAAATCTTTTATCTCGAAAGACTTCAAAATTTTTAACTAGCAATGCAGGCTGATACTGCCAAGTTTTTTAATTGAGTATGTATACTGCTTCAAAAATATCATTGATATAAAATATTAAAGAAGTTTGAATTATCGTAGATATATTTATTTATGAAACTTACATTTCAATAAATAATAAACATTGAACTTCCTGAACTTTCTATAATATTTAATGACAACAACACTGTCTGAACGAAAGCAATTGAAAAGATACTGAATATTTTATGCAAATTCATATTTTCAAAAACTCGAAAATTGAGTCTCGATTGCATAGACTTTATACATTTTTTCAAATGCATCATATACATTCTATGCGATTCTGTATTTTCAATCTTTCTCATAAAAATCCGTGAGTCTACTCACGTTGTCAAAACCTACTGCAACTCTCAAGATTTTGACGATCAAAACTTTAAAGATTTCCGAAACTTTCACCAAAGAAAGTTCCAATTAGCATAAATACATTTGTAAATTATTTATGCAAGTATCAACGTTTATAAAATACATTGCAACTTATGTAGGAACGAATAAAGTAAATGAACGTATTTATAATAATTCAAATTAAATTTCCTCGACTTTCACAACGTCAACATTTCACATCAATGATACGTTGAAACCAAAAGTAATTAAAAAGCTCGCAGGGATATTGGATACTCATTACGCTGTCAAACTCGACCACAACTTTCTTTCATACTTATCCAAGATAACTGGGACTTCCAAGATAATTGAGACTTCCAAGATTGCCAAGAGGTTCCAGACTTTCAACATCCCAACGAGACTTCTCAAGAATTTTCAAGATTCTCAAGAACTTCGAATCCACGTCCGACGAAATTCAAATTTGTAGTCAAACACAGAGCACTTAGAAATGATTCGAAGTGTCTCAGATCCCATTGTTAATCACAAGGATAAATATTCACTTTACTCCTAGCCTAGCTATACCATAGTTGTCTATCATAATTTTCGATAATGGATATATTCGCTTGTGTGCATTTTGTTATTTTAATGAAACAAATCACGATAAGTTTCCAACTTCTCCTAATTTTGGCTATTTCGTTGGCTTATAATTTTTTTTTCTTTAATACGACTTTGAAAAGACAAGAAAAAACTGTACAACTTTTTCCTGACCTCTTGTGGATTGATTTCTCGTTTTAGTCATAAAATGAACCTCTCTTCGAAGAAATTGTCAATCAATTGCCATCTTTTCAGCTCCCAAAATTGTCGAGTGTTGATTCTTTTTGAAACTTTTTGACTCTGTTCATCAAAATGAAGATTAGTGACTTATCGTACAAATCTCTTCCCTGTACGTTTAATTTCTTTTAACCGAACGTTTCTATCGTGTGACAATTGATAACAGATGTTGGCCGCTTTGCTTTGTGCCATTGATGATGAGGCGTGCGAAGAAAGTACGAATGATCTGTCCTCTGTGTGGCTACATGTACGGAAATTTTCAATACAAGAACACAGGATTGACACCGTGCAAAACAGATTCTGAAAACTCGCAAGCACGTCTCTCGTCACCGCCGAGGAGCTTCCGTTTATGCGCGACGAAACAACAACGTGAACACTGACAACAATATATTCTAATCAAAAATTCGCGTAACAAAATATAACTGTGGCTTTGTAATTATGTATATGGAATAATACTTTCTCTAATAAAACAGTTTGACAATTATATAATAATTCAATAGTCGAATATTGTTTGACTCGTTCATTATTGGATATATTCCTTTCTTTGCAATATTTTCATTTGTAAAATTATCATTCAAGATTATACGAGAGTAAGTTAGTAATATAAACAGAAATTTTTGATAAGTTTTAGCAAATGATTTCGAAGTGAATTTAGTAAAATCACATTAAATACTGAAATAAAATACTTAAAAACTATCCAATAAGTACATAAAGTTCCAACAAAAATATGAAACGCAAAGTTGTACGCGCTTAATGTATGCTTTTGGAAGTATCGTTATAGTAATTCTTTAATTTGAGCAACATATATGTATAATATGTAATAATTTTATAACTTTTGATATTAATATTAAATTTATTAATATCAAAAAGAATCTTCAACTTTCTACAATTTCGTAGAACATTAAAATTAGAAATCCATAAAACCTAATTTTAAAAATACCCACTACTATCATTGCATTTCATCGACACACCGTTAGAAGAGTATGCATCATTTATGTAACATAATCATGCATGTAATATAATGCAAAAATGTATAAAATAATTCAAAGAAGGATATTAATTGTGACACTGGGTAAAAAAATTTTCAATTTAGATTTCGTTCCTTTAATTATGAAAAACCCGCAGTTCGTTTATAACAATCCTTCTAAAAATTAAATTAAAAAAAAAAATCTCCTTCTTACGAGAGTACGAAATTCTGGCTATTAAATTGATAAAAAAAAAAAAAAAAAAAAAAATACACGATCCAACTTCAATTCTAATTTGTTTCATTATTGGAATTCAATTCATAAATGTCTCGTTACTGTAAAAACATTTTAATCTTTTGGGATTATATATGTTAATCAATGATATTCCATGAAACAGTGCATACAGGATTTTCACGAGGTTCGACAGTCTAATATCCAGTTAATAAAATTTTACGAAGAAAAGTTTGTTCCTTACGTAAAATTTAATCTCGAAATTCTGATCGGAGGGAACGGTAATTTCCTCATCGATAGTTTCAATTAATTTTATATCAGTAATATTCATTATTTGCATGTAACCTGTGTAATAAGAAAACTAGCTACCGCAAGTTAATTGATTAGAGTGCCCTGATTAGCAAACAGGATTTGAATGCTTAATCCTCCTGCACATACATAATCTCAAAGCGTATGCACACGTGGTTAGATCTTCATCAACATTCAGGATATCGATTTAATAACGGAAGCAGTCAGTTTCTAGTATCTGTCTCTATTCTGCATCACTAACAATATAAACATATATTTTAAAAAATCAATAAGTTGCTAGGTATATTAACAACTTGCTGTATATATAGGATTTTTAATTTTAAAGTAAAGAATATGAAACATACTTAGAATCAGTGATACGTAAATAATACGATCATTGATTAGATTCTACACAGACATCAGAATACATATTTATCGTAGCTGAATGAACAATATTATTTTCAGTTTCCTGATTGAGCTTTGAAAATTATCCGTTTCATATCAGATACGATAACTTCATTATTATTAAATACGAAACTGTGTGGTTTCAGCTGTAAAATGGCAGTACGTGATTGACGAGTCTCGCAATGGAGAAGTTAAAATGTTAAGAATATTTGAAGAAAGACGCGGTAATAAATTATTACATTCAATTATTGATTATTATTATATTTAAAAATGTCAGTGTGCGCAAGATCACGATCTAACTTTCTATAATATCGTGCAATTTAAAGTTGAAAAATTACAGATTTGTATAACTGCGTTAGGGAAATTTTACTTCAGCACAATTTTATTTTGTACACTAGCTTGTGTAATAAGTTTGCTCATATCTCGAGATATGGACTTGCGATATTTTCAGAAGATGTGAGGATATTGTATATAACATGTCAGATTTCCCTTTTAGAAAAGAACAAAAGCTTCGAACTAATAAACTGAACGTTGAAATTCATTTGCAAAGAATAAATAAAACAAAATAATGGATGTCGTTGACTGAAATATGAGAAGACAACATTTGACGCTGCTAAGAAATACGAACAAAACTCGTTGCACAATGCAATACTTGATACAAGCGTGATTATGCAAATTTGAATCGTATGTCGTCGATATACCATTACAAAAATACCAAGTGACTTATTTATATAGAAATGATTAGTTCTCATACTTTAAATTGGAGTAAATTAATTAATATTCTTTAATAATATTTTTAACGTAAGTAAATGAAATTTTGATTGACAGGGATAATATACCATTTTAAAAAATGGTTTATCTATAGCAATTATTAATTCTCGTACTTTAAATTCGAGTAAATAGCTACAATTAATTAATATTCTTTAATAATATTTTTGACGTAAGTAAATGAAATTTTGATTGACAGGGGGTAATATATCATTTAATAAATGGTTTATCTATAACAATTATTAATTCTCGTACTTTAAATTCGAGTAAACAGCTACAATTAATTTTTAATAATCTTTAGTAATATTTTTTAATCTTTACCAATATTGTTTAATATCTTTATGTAAGTAAACGAATTTGATTGACAGACTGAAGGCTTTTTCGTATCTTTGGGTCCCAGTTATTCTCTATTCGTATCTTCAATATTGATTAGAATAGATACACGGATACGAGAAGGATATAGCAATGTACAAATTATATATCCAGTGATTACGTCAATTAACACGTAGGCGAACATAAATTGGAACTGCCGAATTGTGTCGTGAAACAATTACCATAAATCTCGTTTATCGATTTCAAATGCATGGCTATAGGAAGTTGCTATTGCAATACCCCATACAGATAGAAGATAGTATGATCATGACAGTACAGATTCGTCTCAGTTTGTTAATGTGATTACACACATACACACACACACACATATATAAAGCCTTATCCCTTGTGTCAATTTCTCTTAAAACATTTATCCCATGAGATCATTTCGAATCATTTCGATCGCCTGTGGTTGCTGATGGAGCGAACGAAAAGGCGAACTACTTCCTGAAATTTGCATGAAACCACTGGGCGCCTCCTTTAAACGCTTAATGACTTTCTTTCTGGTCGCAGCAGCAAGAAATCAATTTGCGATTTTGCGGCCACGGAATACAACGAGCGGATTCCGATGGCCTCTTAAAGTGGCGGTAATGGCTCCTTGAATCATCGCGATATCCGCGGATCGGCGGAGAGAAAATGTGCTTTCTTTCTACGCAGATTTTCGCATTACATTGTGTAACAACAAGGTGAAGGCAACCCAACGACGAAGAGGTATAATTTGTAATTATCAAATTATTATGCAAAAAATATAAATTGAAATTTCTCCCGGTTGTTGATATGCATCAAAAATTAAATGGTTGCAAAGGTATTATCAGATTTTTAACGTCCGTGGAAATGCAAGTGTTATTTTTAATATATTTTTACGTACGTTAATTCAACAATCCTAATTTTAATTCTAATTCTCAACTGATTAATACTGTTTGGTGATACTATTTTAGAATAAAAAGTATGTAAAGTATATAGTATTAGAATAAGTTATTGTAAGAAATGGACAGAAGAACTATCATTTATATATTGTAAAGTAGAACAATTCTTTTCATTTAACTAGAACTACCAAAAGTGAAATTTACATAAAAATTTGTTCCCCATTATCATAACAAGTAAAGTGATTAGTTTACATAAAAATTTGTTTCCCATTATCATAACAAGTAAACTGGTTAGTTTACATAAAAATTTGTTTCCCATTATTATAATAACAAGTAAACTCAAATTTTATATACTGTATATATTTATATATTATTATTTTATATACTGTATATATTTATATATTATTATTTTATTATATTTTATATAATGTATATATATTTATATATTACTTGATATTTTGTAATATATTATAACAACTATAAACCAGTTTATAGTACATTATATTATCTACGATTAGTATATATTATATTATAGGTTTACAGGTAAATTGCTTTTGATATTTTATATACTTCACATACTGCGTACACGTTCTCTCCCTTTTTGTATTTTTAAATTTCCCACAAACGCAATAAAAATACAATACTATAATACTATAATACTATAATAAATACTATAATACTATAATAGTGTAACAATGTAATATAATAAATGAATTTCCAATAATTTCAAACGAAAGAACTGAAAGACCCGCAAAATATCCGTACTGAAATATTTATCACAATATTTACACTGAGACAAAACGAAATATAAAGGTATAGAAATATAAAAATATAGAAGTGCATAAAAATTTGTGACCACAATTCTGGTGACAGTGAACGCTTGGGAATATTTAATCCGCATTATTAACGGCTTGTGCATTATTCAGACAGCAAAGTAATCCAAGAGAAAAGTAAGAACGGAATTGTTCATCGAACGTTTAATTTTCCGTAAGTATTTTCCCAGCGATCGTAACTTAGTTAGT